TTGCAGTTACATTTTCACCGTTTTCCCTTCCTCTTCTCTTTGCACTTTCCCTGTGCGTTGGCCTCCGCCATGGTGCTGACGATGAGTGACGTTGAAGCTTTCGTAGGACTCCAACATTCTGACTTGCGAGTTGAGTTGCCAGTAAATTACTGCTCGTTCAATGACTGCCAGTATTTTTTTTCTTTTTTAACCTTCAAAAATAAAAAGAGTCAAATTCCTACTGGTAACTGGCATATCAATTTTTTAAAGGAATTTTAGCTGAACTAGCAGCAATAGCATCAGTGGCCTTTTTTTTTTTTTTGGGGGGGGGGGTACCAAAAATATCAAACTGCGTGGTTAATTATTCATCACTGGCCTTATCTTAATTATGCTTATATAGTTGTATTTCATATATATATATCAATATTTCAGGTATGTATTTTTATTTTGTTGAAATATAATCATAATTTTTTCAATAATCTAGTGGAGTGATTTTGTTTTTAATATGACTGTAAAATTAGTCAAGTAAATTTGTTCTTGAAAAAGCCCTCTATCGGGGAATAATTAGCTCTATTAATTGTAAATAAATTAGATGATAATCAAACGTAATTTTTGAAGCAAGATTGTATAAGGTAATCGTAAAGTTCATGTATAACTTTACTCAAACATAATTGAAAGAAATTAATATATTAAAACCAAATCTAAGCGCCCCCCCCCCAAAAAAAAAACACTTGATTAAACAAATGGAAAGCATCTGCTTTGTTCAATCGACTGGTGGAAATGTCCACAGCCGCCATTGAATAAATAGGGTTGTTTAAGACTTTAATTTGCTTTAAAACGGTTGGAGAACGTAATCATTGGCCAAGCTTATCAACTTATTCCAGTGGTCAACGAGAAGCTTTTGGAGCCAGTAAGATGTTTTTGCTAGATTGTCATTCACTCAAACCATAGCCAATTAGGACTAAGAACTGACATAAACCCAATTAAAGTTAGCAGGTCATGCACTCAGATTCTTCTGCGAAGAAGCTGTCACTTGCAACGGAACATGACTCAGATCAAAGGCTCTTTCCATAGTTGTTATCTCTTCCTGATCTTCCTTTGCTTCTTACTTTCCATTTGTTTTCTTGCAAAAAAGGATGTCTACGGTGAATCTGCTGAAGCCAAGAAACAAAACTGCGGATCATCATCTACTAAAAGATCCCGTGCTGCAGAGGTTCATAATCTCTCGGAGAGGGTCAGTGCATGGCATTCGTGTAAAAATTAACATGTTGATATCTTTTTCTTACTGTTCATAATCTTCTTACGGTTACATTCACATGCAGAGGCGTCGAGATAGGATTAATGAAAAGATGAGAGCCTTGCAAGAACTTATCCCTCGCTGCAATAAGGTCTCACAGTCTTACTACTAATTTCTTGGGCATATGGGGTGAAGGGTTTTGGAATTAATTTTTCTTCCTAATGGTGATTTATAACTTCCATTGCTTTTCTGATTCAGTCCGACAAAGCTTCAATGCTGGATGAAGCAATTGAATATTTGAAGTCACTGCAATTACAAGTGCAGGTGAATTCTTCGTTTCTTCTATCTTCTAAGTACACCTACAAATGCACATAATCTTTAAGCTGACCGACCCTCAACTCAACAAAAGGTTTTGGTAAAAATGCATAAACCTCCTGTTGCATTCTTATTCAAAAGCTTTCATCAGAACAAGCTCCACATCCCTTGATTCAGGCATGTACTATAACTGTCGTGATCAAATATGGAATCATCATGCATATTTCTATCCATGTTGACATATCATAAATCATGACTATAATTCATGTATGCAGATGATGTCCATGGGATGTGGGATGGTACCAATGATGTTTCCCGGAATCCAACAGTATATGCCACCAATGGGGATGGGGATGGGGATGGGGATGGGCATGGGCATGGGCATGGGCATGGGCATGGAAATGGGAATGAATAGGCCACTAATGCCATTTCCCAATGTGTTAGCTGCTTCAGCTATGCCACCGGCGGCGGCAGCTCAATTGGGACCAAGGTTCCCTATGCCTCATTTCCAAATGCCTCATGCCCCTCAGCCTGATTCATCTAGAATGCAAGCAGCCGCTCCAAATCAACCGGAAAATAATATGCCTCCTTCTCTTGTCCCACCTGTTCCCAGTCAGTCACGGATCCCAAACTTTAGTGATCCTTATCAGCAATGCCTTGGTCCCCACCAGATGCATCTACAGTTCATGCAGGTAAATATTGTCATTTACTGTCCCCCCCCCCCCCCAAAGTAATCTCGCCATACCTCTGACCTATCGGGTTTCCAACTATTTATAAATCAGTCTTATTTAGATGCCTCATTTACTAAGTAATCCTTGAGATGACTGCACTGACTCCCAAGACTTACCACAAGTCAAACAAATTTGTTTGCTCGTGCGAAGTTGGTTTTTGGTGCTCGAGAACTGCCATTGATTCTTGACGAACTCTTTTTCCTTTATCGATCACAATTGAAGGTCAATCTTTTATGAGCTTCAATGGATGAGCACATTTATTTATGAGACTGATTTTCTTGAACAGAACCAGGCAATGAACAACCCAACTGTCAGCAAACCAAGTACCATTAAGAGCCATGAAAATGCAGAAAATAATCAACCCGGTCAACCAGGTATGGATACGATGCTATATCTCAGTCATCTACAGAAATTTGCTAGTTATGGTGGAAAAGAAAGGACGCTTGATAGTGTGAAAATTTACTTTGAGCTTACTGTGTTCTTGGGTTTCATTCTCAAGCTTCTGTAGAATGTTAACCTCAGGAGCTGGTTGCTTACTATGTGTGAGAAGAAGCATGTTATCTAAATCAATGTAGCAACATAATTATCACTTGATAAGACAGGGCATGCCCGTCTTCTTCATATTATAGATCAGCATTAATAATTCTTTGGCTTCTTATAAAATTTTACTGAATTCTACCTGTTGCCACAGAGTAACTATCAGGCACAGAACCAGAAAAAGATACTAATGGCGCCTCTCACTGTTGCTATAGCTGGAACTAACAACACTGACAATGGTAGGATATTTTGTGTTGAAGCAGGAATATTGCATGAAATAATTATAATTTTCACTAACAACGGACTTGTGTGTGCATTGCAGGTTACTATCCTGGCATCCATAGCATAGCTGCCAAGTTTTGTAGTGTAAGAGAAGGAAGTTATTATCTGTTCTCAGTAGCAACCTAATCTATACAAACTACTAACATGTAAAATTATTGCCATCTTCGAAAAGAGGGATTCTTTCGTGTCGTCCTCGTCATTATTATTCTTACTCCTCTCCTTTCCCCCTCAAATTTTTGAAGTGATAGCCACAGAGAGTCATTCTGTACTTGTGATACGGTTAGAGGAAGCAGATACAAGGCGCAAATACAAGATGCTAAAAGACCGCTTCTTTATGGATGAAGCCTCAATTCTTTTGAGAGCAATGCATTTGCAGGGCTTTCCACGACTGATTGTTTGGTCAAATTCTAAATTATATATATACCTCAATGTCATAATACTAGCACATTCATTACTGTGTGGCTGTTGTTTCGTTTTTGGTACTGTGATTTCATGTAAGCCGTTGATTGAGAAGTTGAATTGGGAATCCGGAATGCTCATAATGGAACAAGAAAAGGAGCAGGAAAGGTGTAATAATGAAGAATGGAAGGTGGAGAACATGTGATAAGTGGTCCCATGGGGTGACCACACTATAGCCTCGGAGCCCAGATTCATGCCCCCTTCCCTTCCTTTTCTTTTCCTTTCCCTTTCTCTTCTTAGCGCTCAGTCTCAGCCATTAATTTGCAAATGGGTTTGATGAATCTGATTCAAATATCTGACTTTGACATTGCTCCATTACCTACACACTTATCCCCTGTTCACAATGACCTAGTTCTCATTATAATTTCTTTGAAGTAAATAGAATGATTTTCTTCAGGACTGACAAGAAAGGAGCAAAAAGAGGGGGGGAGGGGAGAAGCAGAGACTTGACATCAGTATTGAATGGAAGAAATTTTAAAAGTCAAGGTCAATAGAGAATTTACAGTTTAAAAGTAAAGGTCGATAGAGATGTTAAAACTAGACTGGTGGATCTGAGCAGCATATCTGCTATAATGGGATATGATGATCTCTCTTCACATTCACAATTAAAAAATTCTTGAGCTAGAATCTTGCGCTCGACGTCTATTTATCGCGTAACTCAAACCCTACCTCATTAAATTAGACCAAGAATTTGAAAATAAATTACTCGTTTAAACCAATTCAATTGATGGGTAGAAAAGCCATTAGCTTGAAGCCTGCAAATGTCAATTATCAGTTAACTAAATTCAATACTCAAGCTGGACGCCATCTTTTTTCACTACAAATGTAAGCGATGCTTATGATCATCTTGTTTCTCTGCACTGTCATGCACGGTGACAGGGTCATCCCCAGGATAATGTACGTTTTCTGTTTTCCCTTTGGTCCAAGATTTTAGTTCGAGTTGGTTTTATGGATCGGTTTGTTTCTTGGTTTAAACTACTCACCATGGATCTAAACCGTTAGCTGAAGTCATGGATTGCCTACTATAGATAATTAAGCAAGAGAAAATGACTTCAAGGAAAGTGTAAATATAAAGCCTAATTATCATGTTGATCTTAATTCTAAATATAAAACTTATTTTTTATATTTATCAATTTTTAAATTACATTTATTGATTTTTTTTTTAACCATAATCAAATAGAAAAAAAAAAAATAATTATATATTTTTAAAAATATATATTATATTTCTTATAATTAAATAACTTACCTAATTTTTTTTCAATTTAATTAAATTAGTTAAACAGATCTTACAAATTAAACAAAGGCAGAACAACACGCAATTTCGCCTGAATCTCGAGGACTTCGAGAAATTATGGCACCCAAATATTTCTGTCTGCTCACGCTCCCAAACTTTAGTCCAAATTTGCACATTCCATGAAATTACGCTTATTATAAATACGGATGACTGCGTAAATCTCGTAATTAGCTAATGAGACTAGAAATTAACAGTGAACAAAATGATCAACTAAATTTCAATATAGTTCACATTCAAATACCATGCTGTCATGCCCAACAACTAGTGCGGATGAATCTCCACGACGCAAACAAATAAAAATTTTTGGCTGAACAATAGCATTAGAACCAAGTCTGAAATGGCGCAAGATTATATTTCACATATAAAGTCCTTCTGGCACCCCTTCTTTCTTCTTGAACATCACCTTGTCTTTTGCCTTCTTGAAATCCGCATGCGTTACCTGAAGAATGGGATACAAAATTTAAAAGCAAGATAAAAAGCATTTTCAAGTCATGAAGGTACATAGATTTTTTTTTTTTCCAAAGAAAAAAAAAACAAAGGCATTCAAACAAGTGGATAACCATCACGTTCTTAAAAAGAAAGCACTTTTAGCACAACTCATAACCGTATCCATAGGTACAATCCAAATTATATTAGTGATAAAACCAAAAATGATGAACTAGGTGCGGGTGGCCCTTCATTTCTTTCACACTAATTCCATTTGGTGTAGGTTGCCAAACCTTGACATGTTCACCCAGAGAGATTCAACCCAGGCCATATTACTCAACCCTGATAGATTTAATTTAGGGCATTTTAAAATGATATTGACCAAACTCCCCAAGAGATTCAACCTATGCTATATTATCTCAACCTTGATAGGTTTAGGGCATTTTAAAATGACATTGACAAAACTCCCAACTCCGTAACACCTATCATTAAACAGTTTCTGCGTCATGGCATTACCTTGCCCAATAATGCTTTATAAAAATTAAAATGAAAAAAAGGCCCCACTAACCTTCATACGGCGTTCTCTTAACGCAAGTAAGCCAGCTTCAGTACAAATTGCCTTTATATCAGCACCAGAGAACTCATCCTTAGTCATGACAAATTCTTCCAAGTTGACATCATCAGCTAACGTCATCCTCGATGTATGTATCTAAATTTTAAAAGCAAGAGGTACTTAGTCAGATGATCGATTAGATCGTGAATACTAAGCTATCCTAGAGAATAAGCAGAAACCAGATTCAGCAAACTGCTTTCATAAAATCAGTAATGCCTACCTGGAAGATGCGTCTCCTTGTTTTGATATCAGGAAGAGGAAATTCTATCTTCCTGTCTATACGACCAGGTCGCAGTAAAGCAGGATCAAGACTCTCAATCCTGTTGGTAGCTAGAATCACTTTAACATCTCCTCTTGAATCAAAACCATCTAACTGGTTCAACAACTCCAACATTGTCCTTTGAATTTCACGCTCCCCACCAGAGTGGGCATCATACCTGTAAGATGTCAACAGTTAAGCTCATTAATGGGAGGAAACACAATCCTAAAAGCTTAAAAAGTGATCAAGCACATCAATTTTGTTGCCAAAACTACATCAGACCCAAGGTTTCTTTACAAACATGTGGATTTGAAGTCAATACTCAACAACTCACCTCTTTGTACCTACAGCATCAATTTCATCAATGAAGACAATCGAAGGGGAAAGATCGTCAGCAACTCTGAAAAGTTCCCTCACAAGCTTTGGACCATCACCCAAGTATTTCTGTATCAATTCACTACCAACAACACGTAAAAATGTTGCTGATGTAGAGTTTGCCACAGCCTGAAAACACACAAGAGTTAGACCTGAAAAATTGTATATATGTTTTTGCGAAGCCCATCATAAGCAGTAACAGAGATAAAACAATGTGGCAAGACACGGGTTAGGAACTGCATATAGTTGCACAGGTCAATTTAAACTTCTAAGATCAAATAATAGCAAGAGTCCACCATATCGCGGCTACAATTAATTACATTTTTCAAATACTCCAATTTCCAAATGTAACTGTACTTGCAAAATCTATTTCAAGTTATCAAAACGTGGCTGCCACCTGAAGGATGAACCGTTTCAAGATATGAATTCCACGTCCAATGTGTTCCTCTAAAAATGATATATTATGAAGTCATATCCACCCCTAACCAAGCCAAGAAGAATTAAAAAGCCAACTCAGAAAGAAGTAGATTGAAAGGGATGATTGAAATTGGAAACTTAATTTTCATCGTCAAAGTCGGGACATGTCTCTTTTCAACAGTAAGTTCATCAGTTCACTTGTCACAAGTTTTTCATATTAAAAATAGAAGCAGTTTCTTTTGCAAATAGAGGGTCACGTGCGATAATACAAAAGGAAAATTTCCCTCTAGCATCTTTAACCCACTGACATATTACTACTAACCGGCAAATCACAGGAGAATTTCTAAAAAGTAACCTAATCAACGCAGAAACACATCAAGGAAACATTATCAACGGTATTTTTTTAATGGCGCATTCAACATGATAACATGCAAAGAACTGAAGAAGTAATTTATTGCTTGGAGGCATGAGAAACTACTTTTAAACCACGCATAAAAAAGCCACTGCAGCAGCCCAGTATTAAGAGCTTGCAACGTGAGAGATAAAATGAATTGTTGAAATTCAAACCAAATGGCCCAATTAGAAACACATTAAATCACAAATCACACCTTTGCAAGCAAAGTCTTCCCTGTTCCAGGTTCCCCATATAATATGACCCCCTTAGGAGGCTTGATACCGATGTCTTCGTATAGCTCAGGATGTGTCAGGGGAAGCTCAACTGCTTCCTTGATTTCCTGTATCTGAGCATCTAAACCACCAATGTCAGCATAAGATTCCAAAGGAGCTTTCTCAACCTTCATAACGGAGACCATTGGATCAACTTCATCTTGAAGAAGCCCAACAACGGAAAGCACCTGGCAATAAACCATAAATGATAAGAAAGTTTCTACATATTCTTCATCAATACATCTGAAAATATGAATTAGATCAAGAATAGACCACTAAAGCAAATAAGCTGGGCAATTTCCAGGTCACACTAGATAGAGTTAAAAAAATTTCATATGAAGTTCTGTAGCTCATATTATATTGTACACGTAGCACCTAATAATCTTCAACACAGCATTCTGAGACCGATGATTATCTCGACAAGTAAACAACTTTGAAGGTATCTTTACAATTTGAGAGAAGAGAGGAAAGAACAAAGATTTTATAAAACATTTTCATTCCCTCCCCTCCCGTTCCATTATGCCCCAAGAAACCCTAACACCATCTGAAGGAACCGATATAATAGCAGCGTAGTTAAACAAACCGCAATCCGCACCGGCACTATCCATCCTAAACCTAGGCCGCAAGGAACCCCAATAAACATATAATCGAGAGCTAAATTTTACGATTAAGCACCGAAAAGAGCACGCCCATACCTTATTGTGCATCAAAATTGCACATCCAGGCTCTAATTGATCCTTATCCACAAAGGACAAGATTCCCACGTAGTACTCCGGCCCGACCGAAGACGAAACAATGGCATGGTTCTCGTCTATAAGCTCCTCCAAGTTACCAACGCTCATAGGCGAACCCCTAAGGTCATCGACTTTGGATCTGTCCTCCTCGGCCTTCTCCTCCTGAGGCTTGAGACGCTCCTGATTGGCCACAAATTCTTCCTCCATCAACAAGTAATCCTTGATTCGCTCAAGCTTCAACAGCCGGAGCTTACACTTAGTCAGAGGCGTCACTGTAGGCAGACGAGCCGCCGCCTCCGGTCCCTTCTGCTTTCGCTGCTTACGACCGACACGTGCCGGCGGTGCCGCCGGCTCAAACTTCTTCTCCTTCTTGCCACTACCATCCTGTTTCCGGTCTCCCGGAAGACCTTGACGATTGAGACCACCCGGAGTTCCCTGACCCATAATTTGTAAATCGCAGGCGTGCCGAAAAAGTGAGAGCAGAGAAGGGAAATAGGGAATATAGAGACGAGAAAAGAGTGAGGGAAAGTAAGTTCCTAAGTTGGCTTTGAGCGCAAGTTAACCGGTGGATCCATTGGGAAATCAAACTTTCAAGCCCAAACCAAATTTATTTGGGCCAAGGAACCGGCTTGACCCAGCTCAAACAAATGAATTTAGGTGCGCTTAACGTTTTCCGGCCAATGGAGTGAATCGCAAACCCGTGGGCTTTTTCATATAGGACCCATTTCATGGGTTTTACTCCTGTTAGCCCAACGCACCCAGATATGAAAGATTTATACTTAGGGGGTGTTTGGATGAAAACCAAACCATAATTTCAGAAGTGATTTTTCGGTTTACAAAATAAATATGTAGAGGAATTTATCTCGATTTGCGGAAAAGTGCTTCTGAGAAGCACTTTTCAGGGTTTCCAAACACCTCCTTAGCCCGCATATTGAAACCAACGGGGCTAATGCCTTATGATATAGCGACTCAAGATTTGAATAAAAAATTATACTTGTATAATTGTTTGTTTTTCAATTCAACTATACAGTTCTTATGTTATTATTCTTTGAAAATTATACTTATATTTAAATCAAAAAGAAAAATCAACGGATCATATGAAGATGGAATAAGTGATTAAGGATACTTTATTACTTAAGCTTATGTGCTTTTCTGTACACTGATTTACATCTTTTAATTCTAGTATAACCAGATATATTCATACAATTTAAGAGGTGCATTTTTATACTCAAGTCCCGGTGAAATGTGCAGAAAAAATGGAACCCATCGAAATGTGGGGAGATAAATCTGAAGACCAAAATAAATTACATAGAACCTAATAAAAATACTATACTATCTCCAATGTTTGATATAAGAACTAGTAAAGATTGAATTTGATCTTAGATATAATATCACAATTCATTTTATCTTTCTTATTTACCTAAGCTAATACTATTAATTGCATATATTAAGTTAGTTTTAATCCAAGTGATTTTAGAGAATGTTTTAAGAAAATCAATACATATTGTTAACAAATAACTAATTTAACTATATTTTTAATCTATTCAGATTAATAATTAAGTAGATCTTATAGTAATATTAAGTAATAAGTAATGGAAGTAATGCTGTATTGTATTCTTTATGATTATTGGCAAGGAGGTTGTTTTTGGTGGAAGTGTTGTTAATGGGCATCCGATCCATATCACCTTGATCAAAACCACGTGCTTGGCACGGAACACAGCGAGTCGGCGACGTGTTGGATTGTGGGACCCACGAGGCAGGATTTCTGTTCTGCGGCCTTTACGTATTGGAAAAGTTACAAATAAATACCTCATAATATATAAAATTATGATTTAACATTCTGAATTTAAAAAATAGCAAATAAAAACTGGGTCTCACTTTTATAAATATAAAATATGAGTAAAATGTCTAAAATGCTCCTCATCCAGGTTGTGATTTGGTCTACTCCGAAGTTGTCATTCGCTAAAGTGAACTTGTCATTTTCATAATCAACTTGTCATTTGACATATACTCAATCAAGTTGTGATTTAGTCTACTCAAGTTATTATTTACTAAAGTTAACTTATAATTTCTCATAATCAACTTGTTATTTAAATAAGGGGTATTTTAGATATTTCATCATGATTTCATATTTGTAAAATTGAGATCGGGATCTTATTTACTATTTTTTAAATTAAGAGTCTCAAATCACAATTTTATATATTAGAGGTTTTTTATTTATAATTGTCCCTTACATATTTGCCTAGAACGTGTGCTCCAAATGTGAAGCCTTGCTGTCGCGATGGGCTTCGAAATATCAAATATCCCTGTGAAGACTCATTTTTTGTCCACAATCTCTCTATTTGTACGTTCTGTGGCAACGTCTGTGATGAGAACTCCTCACAAATGGCTCTGTCCTCCAAAGACAAGGCCCTCTATACTACATGTTTGACTCATTGACTAGGCGAGAAGAAAACCAGAGAAACCATATCAGTTATAAACAAGACCTTATAATTAAAATAAGAGATAATATATACTACTTTCGGTCCTAATTATAAAACCTAATTAACTAATTTAGAGAGATTAAGAAACTTAGTTAAATTAGTTATTTGTAATGAATATGTGTTGTTTTTCCTAAAATATCTTTACTAATCAAGTTTGTTATTTAGAACTATCATTATTAAAGAATTATCTTGAAAAAAATGGATAAATATAAAAATAAAGTGGATTGAGATCTTATATTTAAAACAAAAATAAAATTCAAACGAGGTCTTATATTAATGACAGTAAGTAGTATATTACTATATTAGTACGGAATAATATGTGTGAAATAAGCGCTGAGACTGAGAGTCGGTGAGTGTTATTTATGACATTGAATACGAGCAAGTGTTGTTGACCCAGCAGCCATGGCCAGCTGCCTTGTTCCCAGAGCTTGTACGTTGTGTGAAGATTTATAAAAGCCCTGTCGCCATATTTATAGGTATAGCCAGGTGGGTCATCTACATATACATACTTGTCATTCTAAACTTCCACCAAGACTCTTTTTATATTGGCTAGCTTGCCCTATTCCCCGTGTCTGAGGTATGAATGCTCTATCTCCTTTAGGCCTGGAGAAAAAGAAAGCACTAATGACCTTTTCAGGAAGGAAATTAAAAGTCATATTTTAGGACCACCTGCTAAATACGCAGACCACAGAGATCAGTGCCCCGTCTCTAAAGCCATGCTTGTTTTCCCATCAATTCAAATAATTAACTGCATAGAGTATGTGTTAATATTAGATTTTTGTTTCTTCCAAGAGAAATATCTGTTATAAGTTTTTGGGTCTTCAATGCCCGCCAATAATGTTTAGTTTAACCTACTAAGCTTGAATATAAGAAAGTGTTTGGATAAAAACCAAACAATAGTTTTAGAAGTGCTTTTACGGTTTACAAAGTAAATATATGGAGGAATTTATCTCCTTTTGTAGAAAAAGGTTTCTGAATCTATAGTTTCGAAGTTGTCGAACATCCCCTAATTATATATTGAACTAACTCGTAGAGAAACGTCGAGTAGTAGACAATTTAAGCTTAAAGGAGATCAACAGAAATGGCTTGAGGATGATGGGGTGGATGTTGATGGATGGATCAACGGGCATAAATGCCACAACGATGAACACTTATTAATTGATCTCAGGGGAAGTGCATGCAGTCCAATCCCAACAGGGAGCATCAACCAACGCCGGGATTCGCTTTCGCCATCCATAAGAGGACCACCCTATTTTATATATACATTCAACATCATCATTTATTCTTCATGGCGAATTCAATTCAAAACCCCGCCTACCTAGCTATATACATAATACATCTATGCTATATATTCAGCATGAATAAACGATAACTTCGGTAACTTCTTCAGTTAATTAATTTCAGTTGCCTCAACATTTCATTTAATTTAATTCGAAAATCTTAATATATAGCCTGCTGCCATGAATGCACGAGACACGCGTATCGTTGTGATTTCTCTCCTGTTACTGGCCTGTGCAGATTTAAAAATAAATAAATATTAACATTAATATTATTGAATGCATATTTATATTTATTAACATGTATTTATATACGTTGCAGACCTTTTCACATTTCAGCAGAAAGGAAGCCCCCCGACGTTTGTTTCCGGTAAACCAACTTTCCGTTTATCCTCATGAAAAGATTGCTTATTCGATAATTAGCACGTTGAAGCATAGTCGCCGGTCGATGTTTCATGATGAGGATTGAATACATATACGAAACGCAAGAGAGCGATATATAAGAGTGTGTGTGTGTGTGTTATTAAACTAGTAGTATTAATTAATAACTTGCAAAGGCCGCTTTTGTGCTCAACCAAAGAAACATATATAGATGAGAGCTTACAAGTAATGACCCAGAGACGAAAGTGGACGCTACAAAGTAATGAAATATAACTATCCTCACTCGACAAACCCTAACGATGTCCTTCAACGACATTAAACAACGTAACACAACCGTTATTTTCTGAACCGAAAATTATAAAGTCGTAAGAGGCTAAGATAAGAGACTGATGAGAGCAAACATGAAACCATATTCTCCACTCTCTCAAGGGTAAGGAACGACACCGGTGCCGCCACCAGCTCCGCCTCCAACCCCACCGCCCACACCACCACCAGCACCTCCTAAACCCCCAGCTCCGGCTCCACCGAGTCCGCCCAGTCCGCCAAATCCTCCCAAGCCTGAGCCCCCGCCGAGACCACCGCCAAAACCACCACCAACTCCGGCTCCGGCTCCTCCAAAAGGCAGCCCGTTGCTGCCTAGTCCCGAATATCCACCAACGCCGCCGTAGGTGAGGAAGTTCTTCTGGTCCTTGAGGCCAGAGTCGCTGGGCACTGTTCTGGCACTAGCGGCCACAGCCAGAGCAAGAACCAACAAGATACACCACCTAGCCATCTCTCTGCTTCTCTTTCTGTCACTCACGCAGTACGTAGCCCTAGCTCAGTGACAGTGATGAACAAAGAGCGTGAGGCCCTGCTGTTTTATAAGGGGAAAATTTAAAGGATGGTGAGGAGGCAGTTGGGCATATTCAATGAATATTTAATGTTTCACCCCACAGAAGTGGCAACAGTAAAAACCATACCAACACGCTAACCTAACAATTCACAGGAAGTTAATGGGCACTGGGTTAAGGATTAATGAATTAATCAAACCTTCCTGGTTCCATTTTGAAATGGTAACTGACAGGTGCATTGTGACCATTGGGGTCAATCTCTCTCTCTTTCTCGGTTAACAACAATGCGCGTGCTTGCTAGGCTGTAAATTAGCCGTAGCCGTAGACTGGATCCGTTTCAGAAACTTTTGGGCCAGAAAACAATTTTTCATACATGAGGGTTCACTTTGTTACCCACGTTACTTATAAAGCCCAGGCCCATACTGATGAAAATAGAAGCAAACAGTGTGAGCAAGGGGAAGCAACAAAAATGCACAAAATGCACGAGCGGGCTGAGTCTAATAAAAGAGGTTAGTCTCATACAACGTGAT